TATTTGAGAGAGAGAATGAGATAGAGAGAGCATGAGAGGGGGGAGGGGCAGAGGGAGAAGCAGACTCCCCGCCGAGCAGGGAGCCCGATGCGGGACTCAATCCCAGGACTCCGGGATCATGACCTGAGCCGAAGGCAGTCGCTTAACCAACTGAGCCACCCAGGCGCCCAGGGTATTCTAAGTTTTTAAAACAATTCCAGCTATGAGACAGAATGTCATACACTGTTTTTTGTTTTCTAAATAATTCTAGTAAATTCAAAATACAAATTCAGAAATGTTAATAATGTATACAAAGAGTTGTTTTATTACTCCTGGACACATGTAGTAAATAATTACAGAATTATCTTTGGGGCGCCTGGATGGCTCCGTTGGTTAGGCATCTGCCTTAGGCTCAGGTCATGATCCCAGGGTCCTGGGATCAAGCAGGGATTCTCCTTCTCCCTCTACCCCTCCCCCTGCTCACACTTGCGTGCATGCACTCTCTCTCTCTCTCTCTGAAATTAAATAGATAGATAAATAAATTTTAAATAAATAAATAAATAGAACTATCTTTTATTGAGCACCTAGTCTGAGCTAAGCACTGTGTCAGGTGCATAAATTATCTCCAGTCTAACAATGCTGTACTTATTTTGCGAAAAAGGAAATTGAGACTCAGAGAGACTAAGTGAGGTGCCCAGTAATTAATAATAATTAACAAATTGCAAAGACAGCATTCAAACTCCCATCTTTCTGATTCCAAAATTATTTTCATTACCCCTTTCTTCAGTGATTACAAGGATATTTCCCTTCAGTCATCAATTATGAGTCACTTTAGACTTACTCATTTATATACATATAATATCAGTTCATTTATATGACCATGCATACTGAAAACATTTTTCTCCCAGACAGATTATTTCTAGGGCCTGAACATTAGCTGTGTACTGAATATAAAATGGAGAAAAAAATATCCCTATTATGGAGTTTGTAGTCTAGCCTGGGAACTCTATCAGTGAACAAATAACTAGAATATAAAGTGATGACTACTGCTTGGGAATATCTGCCTATAGCAACTAACAGGAAGTCGTCACTGCCTCAGCTGTGCTTTGGTGTACTAATTTCAAATATGTAAAATATTAAAACCTTTAGTGAACAGCACTTAATTGATTTATTTAATATTATGTAATGTGCTTATAGGTAATGAGAAAAAGTAGATTTTTTTTTTAAGATTTTATTTATTTATTTGAGAGAGAGAATGAGAGATAGCACGATAGGGAAGAGGGTCAGAGGGAGAAGCAGACCCCCCAGCTGAGCAGGGAGCCCGATGCGGGACTCAATCCTGGGACTCCAGGATCATGACCTGAGCCGAAGGCAGTCGCTTAACCAACTGAGCCACCCAGGCGCCCCCAAAAAAAGTAGATTTTTAAGAAATTCTTTTCCAGGGGGCCACCTGGCTGGCTCAGTTGGAAGAGCATGGGACCATCAATCTCAGGGTTGTGAGTTCGAGCCCCACATTGGGTGTAGAGATTATGTAAAAAAAAAAAAAACCCAACCTTTAAAGAAATTCTTTTCCTTTTAGAAATGGAAATTTCACAATAAACTCAAATAGGGGCGCCTGGGTGGCTCAGTTGGTTAAACTACTGCCTTCGGCTCAGGTAATGATCCCGGGGTCCTGGGATCGAGTCCCACATCGGGCTCCCGGCTCAGCGGAAAGCCTGCTTCTCCCTCTCCCACTCCCCCTGCTTGTGTTCCTGCTCTCGCTGTCTCTGTCTCTGTCAAATAAATAAATAAAATCTTTAAAAAAAAAAAAATAAACTCAAATAGTAGGTAAATGCCTTAAGGCATTCAGAAGTTTATGTAATCACTGATGTGGCTAGGGTAATTTTTTCAGTTTAATAGTTATGACTATTACAGTCCTCATTTTTACTCCTGGTCACATGGTTGTAGCTGGTATTTATAACTACTGTCAATTCCATAGTTCCTTTGCCCTCAGCAAACTCCTTATCTGGTTCCTTGCCTGGTAGGGTGACCTCACCTTCATCTCTGAAGGGTGTGGGCCATTAGTCCTGCCTGAACTGGGTTGCTGTAGTTTCTCTCTTGGCTTAAATCCAGGATGTGGCAGTGGTAAGAGCGCTTTGAGAGATCTTCCACAATCCAAACATGCTCTTCCTTATCCCCACTGTGCCGTAGTAACCCAATTTCCCCTTGGTAGTCAGGATCAATCACCACACCAAGAACAGTAACCACCTGCTTTGCCTGTTGATTCATCAGCATGAGGAGCCCAAAGTTCACCAGGGAGCAGTCTCAACTTCCAGCTTAATGGAACCATTATTGTGTCCTCTGGTGGAAGCACTCCTCCCTTTGGAACTGAGACCTGTATACTAACAGAACCAAAGTCACAAGAATAAGAAGCAAAAAGTTTGCTAGTGGATCACTAGGGATAATAATGAAAGGAGTCACTCCCTTTCCACCCCCTGTAATTCCCAGACCCATGAATTGTGTCTATAGGAGAAAGAGCACCACCTGTATTATTACCTGATTTAGAGCAAATACTGCCTCTTGGAGGATGTTGCCTCAGCTGCACAAGGTATGCCATATGTCATTTAGCTGGTGCATAAATGAGTCTTCAAAAAGCCACTCCACCATTCTATCAAGTCAGTGGCTTTAGGATGAGGGGGGACAAGGTAAGATTTACAGGGTTGATGCTATAAGAAATACCATGACAGTGGATAAGCCATTCCATAAATCTATGGATGGTGGTTTGGGCATAAACTTTATGCCAGAACGGAGAAGGAATCTCTATATATAGAGTAAGTGTCTATTCCAGTGAGAACAAAGTTCTGGTCTTCCCATAATGGAAGTAGTCCAACATAATAAACCTGCTCCCAGCTAGGTGACAGGTCCCTTTCTGGGAATGGTTCTGTATAAGGGGCTCAGTTTTGATTTGCTCTAGCAACAAAACCACATCTGGAATAGCAGCCATGATTGGAATTGCTATCTAATTGAATTTACAATAATCCACTGTCATTCTCCAAGATCTGTCTGTCTTCTACAGGCTCTCCCTAATAGGTAATACATTACAGATAGAATTTTTTTCTTCTTAATGTTCATATAGGCATCTTTTTCAATGTGGACACTTAAAGAATTCTATCAAAACTAGAAGGAAAATTAGAGAGTATTTTTATTTTTATAAAAGATTTATTTATTTATTTGAGACAGAGAAAGATAGTACATGTGTGTTGTGGGGGGAGGGGCAGAGGGAGGCAATCTTCAAGCAGACTCTCCACTGAGCAAGGAGCCCAACTCAGGGCTCATCTCACAATCCTGAGATCATGACCTGAGCGGAAACCAAGAGTCAGATGCCTAACCGACTGAGCCGCCCTGGCACCCCAAGAGAGTATTTTTTTTTTAAAGCACTACTTTGGCAACCTCCGCCATAAAGGAAAAAATAAGCACTTCTATCTCTTTATTTATAATAATAGTTACATTTATTGTGAATTTATCCTCATAACAACCTACAAATTAAATATTAACCCCATTAGTTAAATTGGAAAACTGAGATGCAGTGAAATTAAGTGAAATGGTCCAAGTTCCAAGCAGAGTAGAACAAGGTCTTAGCCAGATTTCTCACTCCAAAGCTCTTTCTCTTTATACTCTACAACATTCTAACACAAGAGATTATGTTATTCTCTTTCTAGCACATGTATTGCATGATACAATTTTATTCTTTTAAAAGGGATATAAGTAGGGCACCCGGGTGGCTCAGATGGTTAAGCGTCTGCCTTCAGCTCAGGTCATGATCTCAGGATCCTGGGATCGAGTCCCACATCAGGTTCCTTGCTTAGCCAGGAGCCTGCTTCTCCCTCTGCCTGCCATTCCCCCTGCTTGTACTCTCCCTCTCTCTCTCTCTGGCAAATAAATAAATAAAATCTTAAAAAAAAAAAAAGATATGGGCGCCTGGGTGGCTCAGTTGGTTAAGCGACTGCCTTCGGCTCAGGTCATGATCCTGGAGTCCCGGGATTGAGTCCCGCATCGAGCTTCCTGCTCGGCAGGGAGTCTGCTTCTTCCTCTGACCCTCTTCCCTCTCGTGCTCTCTGTCTCTCATTCTCTCTCAAATAAATAAATAAAAATCTTATAAAAAAATAAAAAATAAAGATATAAGTAGGAGGGTAATGAAAATAAAGTTATATGTTGTCAGGCACTTTTAAACTTTTTGTTTTAACATGCATTTTGAATTTCATAAATACTTTTGTAGCATTTACCTCTTCCGTGTTTTCTGTTCTTCAAAGTAAATAGAGGAGGGGCACCTGGGTGGCTCAGTCGTTAAGTGTCTGCCTTCGGCTCGGGTCATGGTCCCGGGGTCCTGGGATCGAGCCCCACATCAGGTTCCCTGCTCGGCGGGAGGCCTGCTTCTCCCTCTCACACTCCCCCTGCTTGTGTTCCCTCTCTTGCTGTGTCTCTCCCTGTCAAATAAGTAAATGGAGTCTTAAAAAACAAAAACAAAGTAAATAGAGGAAAATAATGCTAACAATTTTTATGGAACTTAATCAATTCTTACAAAAATAATACCTATGAAACAGGTTTGAAAATCTGCAGTTCCCTATACGGATGCTAGCAATTATTATTTATTGACTCTTCAAATATAGAATATAGAAAAGTTAAATCATATGCAAAAGGTTCAACAATTAATAACTCATGATCAATCTTGCTTCATTTTTTTACATACGCTTATTTCTTCCTTCACCCACCCATGCCCAGATCATCTTAAAGCAAATTCCTAGATAATTTCATTAGTTGTAAGAGTGTATATCTTCCCCAAATTAAAGAATCAGCAAGAATGTCCTGATGGATATCATTGATCATAAAATAACACATTGTATGAGGTGGGGTCACCCAAGGTTTCATCTTCAAGATGTTTATAATCCTTTCCTGAAGTGTATTTTCTCAAAGTCTGGAGGCTTAGCTCCTGAGGAATGTCTTTCTTTGAGCTACTAAAACAAGATAACTCTGACTTTTTTGACCATACCTACATAGAGCAGAGACTGATGATGGTCCTTTCGTAACAACACTGAAGTTTTTGCCAGGCCATCCAGCTAGACTATTACAGCTAATTGCAATCATTTTTCTAAATCTGATCAATGGAATATGAGAAGTGATTTCTGCCACTACCAGGTCTTTTCCTCAAAGAAATTGGCATGCTTTCAACTTGTTTTTTCCTCTAACCTTCTGGTCTGGATGCAAAAGTGATGGTGGAGGCAAGAACAGCCAGAGACAAAAGCCACATGTTGAAGATGGCAGAGCCTCTTTACCAGCCCAGAACCACCTATTTCTTAGGTAAAGGAGATAAAATGACACCTTTCTTTAGGCTACTGTATTTTTAGATCTCTTAGTTTCAAAAAGCTTAGACTATACTGTAATTAATGTATGTGTAAAATGTTGAAACCGAAACCAAATGATTAGATTTTTTGTTTGCTTTTTTTTTTATAAGCACCTTTTGTTTATATAAGACCCATGGGGTGCCTGGCTGGCTCAGTCAATAGAGCCTGTGACTTTTGATCTCAGGGTTGTGAGTTCAAGCCCCAAGTTGGGCCTGGAGACTACTTAAAAAAAAAAATATAGGGGCGCCTGGGTGGCTCAGTCGTTAAGCGTCTGCCTTCGGCTCAGGTCATGATCCCAGGGTCCTGGGATCGAGCCCC